CAATTTTGACTGATGCCCCGAAGGACCTAAGCCCCCCTTTGCAGCGCCCCACGGTCCCTCAGAGCCTGGCCGGCCCCAGGCATGCCAGAATCTTCGGCCTTGCTCATTGAGTTCCATCGTCTGGATCCGAACACGGGGCTAAGTTTCAACAATTCATGGGTGTACCCACTGAGCTGGCTCTTGGGGCCCAGCACTAGCCACAGTCTCGCGCCCCAAACAAAGCAGGACATGTATAAATAATGAAAACAAATAAAAATAAAGGTAGGTAAACTAGAGTATGGGGGGGGGGTTGCTGGCACCTCGCCAGCCCCGTGGGTCGGGCCCGGCGTCGCGCATGCCAACAAAACTGAGGGGGATAGCCCCGTCAGGCCCTCAACCCCTCGGTTTCTTCTGTGCTGCTCCGCTGCTCCTGCGCCGACGCCTACTGGCCTCGATCCCCGAACCTCTGTGGCAATAACCTAAAATCGTAACCAATAGGGTTAAGCCCAGGCCTGGCACAGTGGAGCGCGAACTTCAATGTGAAGTGGTGCCACGCTGTGCCCAGGCCTGGGAAAAAAAGAAAAGAACAGCCTAGGCCTTCCTTTCCCACCTGCAACCGGTGCGCCAACACCCGACGCTCACGCCGGCCTATTTAGACCCCATTGTGGCCAACTCACGCGCCTACCGGCACGCCAGCCCTGCTGTCAATCGCACATACCAAACAAAAACGAACCTTCGTCCCCTACACAAGCCGTAGCACGGTCCAGGTCGATCGAGTAGACCGGCCACTCACTCAATCAGAAAAATCACACGCGCGCCTTAAACTGCGCGCCCACATACCCCCTAACTTAGCCGGGACGGGTCTCGGACGAGGTCGTGCCTCGCACGGCTTATTTCAACCAAACCCTTTTTTTTTTCCTGTCACTTGCAAAAACCAGGGCAGATACCCTTGTAAGGGTATTCGCGCCGACAGCCTACCGGACTATATTAAGCGACGTCCCTGTTGCTACGCCAAATCAGAAAGCTACAAACTCATCCACACTCCAAATGCTGACGAGAGCGGAACCAATCCGATTAGCCGACAGACTCAGGGTTGACCAACAATCTGTGTCGGCATAACTATATGCTGCCAGGGTTTCAACCTAGGTTTCCAATGTCCTGACATTAGGACGCTGGTGTATTACGCATCAATACTACAGCATAAGTTTCAAAGGCCACCTCAAAACATCCTTTCCCCTTTGTCCTAGACAAATGCCGACTTTTCGTTGGGTGTCCCAGTTAGACTCTCTTTCGCAAGCAGAGTCATACGGGGACGCGGGCCTTAGATGAGACCTCAGAAGGCACTCTCGCCTCTCTCGTGAAAATCCTCATAATCAAATATACATATATATACGTAAATCTCATCTCAGCTCTTTTTGCAGTCTAGTACAGAAACACTAGGTCTCCATCCCGACCCACCATAGTCTGGTTGATCGAGCCAGATCTACGGCCTACCGCATTGTTATCTTAGCGGCAGTCCCTTCGTTGGTTATGCAACGATAGGTTTTCTCCTGCTAGGCACTCAATCAGAGCGCCCAAACGACTCGATTCGTATCCCCCGCCATTCCACCAGAGTAATTTCCTTGGGGCGTGCATAACCTCTTAAACTCTTGCTCTGCTGGTAGACGTGGGCCCGCAGCCAATAGGGGTTGTGCCCTAGGGGTGCTAGCCTTTACCGTCTAGCTTGGTATTCCTCAATATGCCTTAGGATTAGCACAGGTGTCTAGATGGTGCGTCGCAAAACAGACCACAGGCCCACTGCGGGACTACGCAGGGGTCTGTCTCATTTTAAAGGCGTCCACCAGCTCCCTGTGGGATACGTAGGAAGCGTGACCTCCTTTTCACAATCACAACCAGATTCACCACTAGGCTCACACCAGACCGTGGCCTACTTGACTTGATCAGAGGCAGCAGACCACACATCCCACGATATTTTTATGCACTGACTTGCGACCTTCTTGGTTTCACCAATGGTTCCAACTCGTAACCCTAGTCCCTCTCGTCAGACTTTATCACTCAAACATTGCTCACCATGTCATTGAATCTATTACCCACTTTTCACATGAAGGGGGTCTCTCTTAATAGGTCTCCCAGTCATCCCTCCCTTCGCATAGGATGGACTATCACGCGACCTCGGTTGTATAACCGTCAATAATCAGCATTTCCACCCTCCATAATCTGAAGGGGGTCTCCACCATAGAACAACTCACTAAGGGCTTACTTAAGGGTCCTCTTTGTCAACTCATACGCAAAACAACTCAAACTTGGGACCAACTTATGGGTCCCTTTCACAACTTAGCCATAAACATTCAGCATGGTAAGCATTCGAGTCTTATAGGCTCGCAAGACCCCTTGGGGTCCTCACACATCTATCACCAAACAGTCGCGCTGCCTCCCCTTATACTCGGTCATTTCACCCGCCCATGGGCAGGCCGCACGAGTATACCGAAGAGTAAACGGCAATCACAATCACACAATACACATACATGAGATGTATCCCACACATCTCTCACACAAAGCCCTCATTCATTGGGATAAAGCCACACGTGTGAGAGTGATCATGATCGTCACAAGAGTAAATCCCACAGAGTGTGGAATCAAAATATACTCGGGAGCAAAATATCTCCCTCAAGTCTCAATACAATACTCAACTCAAGCTCTCACACACACAATTCCTATGATATACCTAGGAATAGGATGCCCGCCCCAGTGAACAACTCAGCACTTAGTTCCCCCGTACACTCTACAGGGTGGACTCACACCCCAGATGTTATGGCTTTCAGGATCCAATCAGAAATGTAAAGAAGGTTTCCAAACCTCCAAACCTAATGTACAAATCACACAGTCACAGGTATCTCACAACTGAATCTCACCCGCTGAACTGTATCACACACAAAACCCAATGACCGATTGCGCCCTGCCACCTATATATGTACAAATAGACAGGACTCCCACGGCGAACTCAGACGTGCACACCCCTTAGGACCCTCTCAACCGACTCAGAGTACGTACATTCCTAACCTCACCTCTGGGTACAGAGGAACTCTAGTCCTACTGTCATATAGACAGGCCAGCCCCTACTCACTCATGTCCTCCTGGTTCTGCCTATACAACTGTGCCCTACCCCCATCTGGAGCCCGCTCTACCACTCGCCCCTGTCTGTCGTACATCCTCCCACCACTCTCTGTCACTCTCCCAGCTGCCTTGTCCTTAAGGAACTTTGGGCATTCAAGAGCCCTATGTACGTCGTCCTTGCAGAAGAAGCACTGATCGTCTGATCTCCCTCGACACCTCCTCTTCTTCTTCTGGGCCCCAGGCAACGGCGGCGTCTCGCTAGTTTCCCTGCTCATCTCGTGGCTCTGGGGCATACTCCATGACTTTGCCGGTCCTGCCTCCATCATCTGGGTACTCGGCCCTGCTAGCATCTCATCTCCTTCGGGTCGGTACGCTGGAGTGTCGCCCCCTCGTCCCTATGCAGGTTAAAAGGCTGGGAAATCACGGCAGTCGCTGACTCGCTCATAACTTCCTGCTGCTGCTCTGAGATGTGCTCTCCTGAGCCAGCTCCAGTAGCCCAAGAGCCTAACTGCGTCCTCAACTCCCCTATCTCTGGCACGCGCTCCGGGGTCTCCTGCCTCTGAGGCCCTCTTGACGGCATGTCCAGCTCCATAGCTGCCACCAACTCGTCCAGTCGAGACGCCTCTCCACCCATTACCTCCGGCTCAGTGGATGCTGCTGCTCCCGTAAGGACACCCTCCTGCACCTCCAAAAGGATCATAGGGGACTCCTCTGTGGGGCCCCCCTCCGCCACTAGAGGTTGGGGTCTCTGCGCCGGCTCGTCCCCAGGAACCTCAATCGTCATAGCGGTGGCCTGTTGCGGGGCGAACTCCGTGGGAGTCCTGAAGCTGAACCTCCTCTCCTCGGCCTCCCGCCTTGCTGCCGCCTCTGTTGGGTCCACGAATACCTTTCCCATTCCCTCTTGCTGTGGCGTCTCTGTCGTTCCTTCCTGGTCAAAGAGCCCCTGTACCTCCTTCCCCTGGATACCATACCGGCTCTGCTCTGGCCAGTCGACCACCTTAGTGGCCGAGAGCCTCTCTACCATTGCCCACAAGAGGTTAACGGGGCATCTGGTTTTCAGGCCTGAAAAGTTTTGGGCTCAAATTTCATGTTTTTTTGGAATTTCAAGTTTTTGCTATATATGCATTTTGATAGGCTTGCCGTATATGAAATCTGGGGTTATTTGGAGTTTTAGAATTTGCGCTATTAAGATTTCTGAAATTTCTGAAATTGGTCGAGTTTTTTTTTGGACCAAATTTCATGGAAATGCACCTTTGGCTTGCTGTTTTATATGTTTTTAATTGTTTTTTTTAGGGGTTTTTTCTGTGATGGGGTCGTAAGAAGTGAACTCTATAGATTGGTGTGAAGTGTTGTTAAAATGACTGTCTGGTTTTCTTATAAATGGGCCTGAAAAATGGGTGCTCGGTTAACCTGCTCTCCTATTGCCGCCATGTCCTGGAGCCTCTTCTCCCATTCCGCCTCCTTGGCTTCCATGCGGGACCTCCACGCTTGGTTCTCTGCCCTCTTTTCCGCCAACTGGGTGGACAACTGTCCCACTTCTAACCTCGAGGCCGCCAATTCATCGCTGAGCAGGGAGTACCGCTGGAAGGATGAGATCGCCACCTCACCTATCCTTCTGTCTGCACGTTCAATCTCCATCCTGGAGGCTGAAAATCCCAAGTCCTCTGTTTCTCGTGCCTCGTCCACCCTCGCACTCTCCTGTCCTACCTCTCGTAACCTCAGGCGAGCAGCATCCCTCTCACTCTCATAGCTGGCCCAAGCCTCGCTAATCCTCTGCTCGCTCGTTGGAGGGTCAATTGGCGACTTTGGCGCTTCTCCTGCGACCTCCATCCTAAGCTTTTCCTGGTATAACTCCTCGAGGCGTACCTGCACCCTCGCGCTCTTTTCTTCTTTCATCTCCCCCGGTGGCCTCCCTGTCCTCGCCTCATGAACCTCTCGCAGTGGATCTCTCTCACTCGCCTCCTCCTCTGCGGGTGGCGGCCCTGGCGGAGGCTCCCCGGATGTCGGCACCTCCGCGTCCATGCGCTCACCTGTAGGCTCAGTTAGTTGTGGCGCCACAGTAGTAGGAGTCCTCGCCCACTCGCCCTCCTCTGGCCCCGCCTGTGTCGATGAGGTGGTGTAGTAGCTTCCGATGGAGGCCCCAACATCTCCTCGCTGTCCGACTCAGGAATTCCTTCAGGCCAATACTGTCGCACCTGCTCCAGAATCGGGGCAGGGGGAGGGGTATCATCCCCAACCGTGATAACCCCCTCAGTCTGCGGCTCCTCGGGTCCACGAGACCCTCCCTCGGGCCTCGGCTCAGGTGGCTCCTCCACTGGCTCATCCTCTACTGGCTCATACCGTGCCGGTCCGCTCTGGTCCGCTCCCAGTTGTGACGCCCTCCACTGGGACGCATCGAGATGAGCCTCCAACCTGTCGAGCGCCGTCCTCAATGACACTGCTTCTCCACCCTCTGGTACCGTCGGCGAAACTCCACCCGCTCGAGTCCATAGGTAGGGGGTAGCTCTACCGCCGGAGCTGGTGCCGCGGCCTGAACCGGCTCCACCGCCTGGGCGGCCTCTGCTGGCCCCTCTTGCTGTGCTAAGGCCTTTTGCCCCCCCTGGTCATAGTGGCCCCCCTCGCCTCTGGGCCCCGTGGCCTCTTACTCCTCTGTCGTCTCTCCACCCTGGGCTCTGGTCTCTCGGGCTCCAGTCGTCGAAATGCCTGTCTCAGCTGGGCCTGGCAGTCCTCCTAGTCGCGAGCCCTGTCTCGGATCTGCCTCGCCAACGGCCTTTCCGCCCTCTGCGTCCAGAGGGCTCTGCGTCCAGAGGGGCAGCGTCTGCATCCACTCCTCCTGCCCAGTCCCCTGGTCGCGCATATACTGCTCATAGGCAAGGATAAACTCCTCCGCATTGCCTTCCTCCAACCGAATAGGCAGCCCACCTGGTCCCAGCGGCGAAGCCCTCAACGTTTACATCCTTGCCTCCACATCCTGCCAGGTCAACGCCTCCTCTCGAATGTGCGCAATAGGCTCCTCGAAACGCCAAACTCCCCTCAGGTGTCGTATCCTCTCCAAGGTAGACCAGCCCTCCCGTGCCGCATGTGCCTGGTAGGAGTCCACAAAAAACTCTATATTATCGTCGTCGAAGATAGGCGTGGACTCCCTCCCAACCGGTCTGTGCGAGTCATCCCCTCCTGATGCTCCCTGAGGCCTCTGTCGTGGCCGCGCGCCCCTCTCGCCCCTCTGCATGGCTGTCTTCGAAAAGTCAGACTTGCACAACAGGCGAGAGAAAGCAAGCAGGCACACAACAAGGTTAGCCCTAGGTTCATCAAGTTTTTATGACAACACACACGCCTTTTCCTACTCCCTCACCTGTCTTGACCATAACATGCAATACCTCAAGGACTAGTTTATTCTGAGGAAGGTAGAATTATTTTCCTATTCCCTGACCACGAACTTCTTCAGCCTAGTCCCCGATACCCAATCATGCCAGCCTGTCCCGTCCAACTCCTCGATCTGATAGGCCCCAAATTCGCCGCATCGCAAGATTCTATAGGGGCCCAACCATCTCTTGTCAAGCTTCCTCGACCTTTGTTTTTCCAGAGAGGAGTCGTACAGTAATACGACGTCCCCCACTGCCAATGACTCCTTCCTTACTCGCGCCATCTGATCCCACCTCATCTTATCTTCCATGCGGCTCCTTTCTACTTGACCAGCGGCCTCTCGCAGTCTTTCTTCGGTCGCCCCCACTTGCCACGCCCGAATATCGAGCAGTTCTTCGAAGGACAGGTTCACCTCCAAGTCCTGGCGCCTCCATGTCTTCATAAAGCTTTCTATGGGAAAAGTGGCGTACCTCCCGTACCATAGTGTGGCTGGCGCATACTTGGTAGTCCTCTTCACAGTAACATTCTCCATGAAGAAAGCCGCTCGTAAGAACTTTGGCCACTGACCAGGCTTGCCCTCTGTCCACTTAGCCAAGAAACTCGTGATGGTACTGTGCCCCCTCTCCACAGGTGCATTCGCTTGGGGGTGTGCGGCTGTAGTATAATTAGCCACCACGTCATACCCTGCGAGCAAGGTTCACACCTCATTGCAGGTAAACTCCGATCCTCGGTCCATCACGAACTCGTTGATGAAGGGGTATCGCAGGTAGTACTCTTCAATGCAATTTGCCAAGACTGGGTCAGTCTTAGTTCGGATAGCCCGCCAATCTACAAACCCAGTAAGGTTATCTCGTGCATCGAAGATGTAGTTACACCCATTCTCCCCGGCTGGCATGAATAACAGATCCAGGTGTACGACCGCACCCACTTCCCTTTCTAGCCTTGGGTGTAGGGGTTCTCCAGGCCTTTGCGCTGACCTCTCTAGGCAAGGTATACAGGACCGGCAATATTTGATAACCATCGTCAGCATCCCGTCCCAATAGTAGAGCTCGCTTATCTTCGCGCATGTGGCACCTACTCCTCTGTGCCCCCCTGCTATACCATCGTGTAGGGCCGCTATGATATCAATTTGCCGGTTTCTTCCACATACGATCCTCTTGGGGTTCCCGACCTGCCGCTTTATAAACAAGTGGTCGTCTCTTACCACATAGAGGTGCCTCATCTTCTGTTCCTTGGCACTTGCATCTCTATCCCTCATCTCACATGATAGGAGCAACCCCAATTCCCGGTAGATCCCATCGTACTCCTCTGCCCAAAACGCCTCCTTGATTTCTCCTTCCTCGAATTCGTCATCCCGACTTTCAGGAACCAAAATCTCGTTTCCTTCATGACTGAACGAGCCCTTCCGGTCAAAGTCTCCTTGCAGGAGCGTATTGGTGAGCAGGTACATCCCTCCCATTAGCTGCTCATGCTCCTCTACCTGAGTGGAGCCTTCTTCTATTGTCCTCATTTCCTCCACCAGGTTGTGCGTTCCTGCCAATGTCAATTTCATAATCCAAACAACATCCTTACTCCCCCACGGATCCTCCTCCTGAAAAGGCTTGAGGACCAACTCTTCCTTCTGCTCATACCCCTTTGGCGCTAACCATATAGGGTGGCTGACGCAACTGGGTACTCGCAGGGACCACTCGTTTATATGCAGGCGGACGTCCTCCTCTTAGTCCAAAAACCCATCAACTGGTGGGGCGTCTTCTATCGATCCCTCGTCCGATCCATCCCAGTTTATGCGGCTTAACTCATTTGCCCTGTTCTTGTTCCCTGGGATCTTTTCCAACTCGAAATTAAACATCCAAATGTAGGTCAACCACCTTGGGACGGTTGGGTCAGATGGAGTATAATTCTTCAGGGAGCATGCCAGTGCAGTAGGGTCCACCCTCAAGATGAGCCTCCTTCCAAAAACATAGTTCTGGAAGGTCCTTAGGCAATGAAGTACCGCCAACGTTTCCTTCTTGAACTGAGAGTAGTTCCTCTCAGTTGTATTGAGGGTACGACTTTCGAATCTTAGCGGTCTCTCCTTCCCCTCAGTATCTTTCTGAATCAGGACTCCTCCCAAGGCAGTTGGTCCAGCGTCCGTCTCAATGACGAATGGTCTCTCCTCCGTGGCCTCGTAGTTTGGCGCTCCCAGTACCAAGCCTCCTTCCTTAAACTCTCCCTTCATCCTACCGACTGCCTCTTCCTGGTCTTCGCCCCAGACCCATTCCTGATCCTGGCGCACCAACTTCCTTAAATGCTCCGTCTTCGTGGCGAAGCCCCTCACGAAGTTCCTCCAAAATCCGCACGTCCCAAGAAAGCTCCTCACATCTGTTATCGAGCGGAAGGGCACCGGCCACTCGAGAATCTTGTATGTTTTCTTTACGTCAGGCCTTCGCCCATTCTTATTACAGACAAAACCTAGAATTGTGGCCTCCCTCATACAATGTTTCGACTTGGGGCCGCTCGCCGTCAGGTTGTGCTCCTCCAATAACCCCAGAACCTGATCGATGTCTTGAACATGCTTCCAGACAAAGCGCCGCACACCGGGCATCACTTCGTCTTCCCCCTTCTCCTTCGGACCTTTGACTGACAGGTCATCGATATAGGGCTGGGTGATATGTGGGCTGGCCATTTGCATGGCTTTGATCATATGCCTTTGCACCATCGCCACCGCATTCGTCCAACCTTGAGGCGCCCCGTTCATGTGAATCAACCCTCTGGGTGTGTGCATCGCCGTTACGGGCCTGTCTGGCGGGTATACAGGGAATTGGTCGTACCCAGAGTAGAGGTCTATAAGCGAGATTATAGGCCTCCCTGAGCACGACTCTGACAGCGCGTCCGCGTTCGGCAACCCTCCCGCGTCCCGCATTGTCACCGCATTTAGCCGTTGCAAGTCCTGCACCCACCTTAGCGTCCCATTTGGCTTAATGAAACAAAACCAAGGCGACGCGTACGGTCCACTGGAATAGTCGGCCACATGCGTCCGCATCTTGCCGTCCAGGTAGTCCACCACCTTTTTCTCCTTATCCGGATTTGGGTATCGCGCGCCCCTTAGATTCCATGGCTCGTGCGGAACAGTGTGGATTCATATCATTGGAATCTTGTCCACATCCAACCTCCCACGCTCGTCGTCATTGAATGCATACGCGCGGTGTTTTTTCTTCATCAGCCCCACCATCAACGCTCTTTCCTGGGGCGACAGGAAGTCGGGCTCCCCGATTATCAACTTTCCCTCATTCTCGTCGTTGATACGGCACGGCCCGGCCAACGCATGCTCCCCCATACGCCGTACCAATCCTAGCTCCCGCTCGTAATAGGCTTCCTCATCCTCTGTGACGAGCACGGGAACTAGGCGGCACTTCTTATCTATGATCTTGTACCGCCTTTGGGAACCCTGCTTAAGCCCTCCCCTAAAAAAGGCCGACTTGTCGCTCGGGCCTAGGGCATCGCAGGGCCTCCCCTCCCTCCTGGAAGCTGATACACCAACTCCACCTCCCCCACCTGAGGGTTCTCCAAAACCTGTTCCCTCAATGCCTTAATGGCCTCCGGATCCGCCATGTCGTGAGCCGATACCACCTCCATGGCCTTATTCATATTCGTGAGGCTCAATGTCAGCACCTCAGGCCTATCTTCCTCCTCGGGCACTTCCCAAAGCCGTCTTCGCTCGTTCTCCGATTCCTCGAAGGTGAACGAGCCGAGGTTAGGCCTGTTCCTTCCGCTCCCCGGCCCCGTGTTTCGGCAGGTGATAACTTCATAATTCCCACACAACGGGTCGCACAGGAGCAGGATCATTGTTCCGTCGTGCTTGTTGAAGATCAACGTTTCTGTTCGACACAAGAACGACCTCCCCAGGAGGATGGGATGGTCGACATCGGGCATGACGAAAAAGCAAGTCCTGGCCCGTACCTTCCCGATTTCTATGATTACGTTGGACGTCGTGCCGCAAAAAGCGGCCTTACAATTGGCGCCGTGCATCATGCCATGGTCCGAGCAGTCGATCTCCATGCCTATCATCACTGCCTCCTTCTCCCTGATGATGTTCATTTTTGCGCCCGTGTCCACCATCCCAGTACACTTCTGGTTCCTTATCACCAAATCCACCTGCCCGCACGCCACACATTTCCAGTCCATCCTTGTCCATGCCTCAGTCCACTCCACCTCCCTGGGAAGGACCGTACTCAGATGGACATTTGGCACCAACCTTCGCGAGAGTCGCCCTTTCAACTCACCACGGAGCCTTGGTGCCGATGCCAGGATGTCCTTCAGGTTCATCAGGTCATTGTGGCCTTCCAGAAGCTTGTCCACCATCCGCTCCACATCAAAGTCTTCCTCCATCCGGACCTCGTACTTCTTCCTCTTAGGTACGTTGTCGGGTAGGCTCGGCTCGGCCTCCTCCCGGGCTCCTCTCTTTCTGGCCCTCAGCTCCGCCCGCTGATCCTCCTCTTGTCGGAGCCTCTCATCCTCTTCGTCGTCATCCTCTTCCTCTTCCTCCGGGACCTCCACCACCTCTTTCCTACGTCCTGGCTCAGGCTCCTTTCGAGGGGGTGCCTGACTGGGCTCTTGGCTAGGCCCGGCCTTGTTTTGGCTCCTAGTCTGAGCCGCCTGCGGCACCCTCCCATGCGGCGTGGGGGGTCTATAGGCCATACCTGACCTAGGGCCCGTCCCTACAGTCGCCACTCTTGGGTACCCCTGTTGTCCTGACGAAGGCTCAGGTCCGGAGTCGTAGAGGAAGACCTCAGGCAGATTGGCCTCCCACTCTCGGGCTTCTTCACATAGGGTCTGCAACTTCCGCTGGTACCTTCCCACCTTTTCCAGCAGATCTTCCATCCTCCCCAGGAGAACTATGGCTGGCTCTCCTTCGCTTTCCTGCCCCTCGTCATCCGATTCGACGACTATTGGCTCCTCCCTTACAGTCCCCGCCTTTAGTCGCTGAGTGATCTCCTCACTATCCCCTACAATCTCCTCGACTCTTACGGTCGGTTCTTCCTTCTCCGGCCACATACTAAACATTGTCGGGGGTGCTGTGGGTCCCGCTGCTGCTTGCCGGAGAGCCTTTTGCCTGATTCCTCCCGGGGTCCTGGGGTTGATATGCTCACCCCACTTGTCATATATATCCCCGTCCATACAGAAGGAGATTAACCCTGACAATTCATCCTCCCGCCGCCGCTCGCAGAACCGCACAGTGTGGCCTACATCGCCACAATGCCAATAGGTGGCATTTCGCCAATCAAAGCGGGGCCTCCCATACCCTTGGCCCCCTTCCTGGCCGCCCCGGCCACCTTGGTTCTGGCCCCTTTGACCATTCCAACCACCCCCACGACCCCCACCGTTTTCTCCCCAGCCTCGGCCCCCACCCCCTCGACCCCCTTGACCTCGGCCTCCATTGCCTTGTCCGCCTTGTCCTTGGTTTCCTCCACCGGCCACGCTAGCCTGCGAGGCCTGTTGGGAGGGGGGTGGTTGGGCCACAAACTGACCCTGAGCCGCAGGGTAGCTCGGGGGGCCCATACTTGTCGCTGGGCCCACATAAGGGACCATTTGCCCAGGGTGAGTTTAACTACCCCCGCACGAGGTGCAGTGATTACAACTGGGCCAGGATGCAGGCTGACAATGCGGCACCCAGTGCCCACAAGCCGATGGCGACCCCATACATGACAGCCCGACCGTCGCTGATGTTGTCGTGGCAGCAGGTGGCGTCGCAGCAATCGCTTGCGAGACCTGCCCCTTTCCGGATCCTTGACCCCCCACTTGTAAATTCCGCTGCTTCCTCTGGGCCTTGGTTAGGATTAGGGAGCCCGTCTCTTCTCTGCCATAGTCCTCGCGCCTAGCCTCCTCTTCCACTGCCCCCGACGTCCGGCCTTGGGCCACGGTCACTCCCCTCTTTTGCACTTCCGCCTCATTATCATACCCCAGCGCTGCCAATACGTCCGTGACGATCCTCTTCACCCCTGGGGTCCCGGACGTGGTGGCGTCCCTTTCCTTTCTCTTGCGCCTTTGCAGTTGCACCTGGTGCTGCTCCACCTGGTCCAGGTTCCCCTCTTCCACCCCTTTGTCGATAGTGGCCCAGGTGAGTTTCTCATTTCCCCCTCCGTGACCCGTCAGCTCCGAGGCCTCCGAGCTAGTAAGCAGACCCAAAAATATGGCACACTTCGTTTCTTCGGAGATCCCGTGCACCTTCCGCGCCTTCCTTTTAAACTCGTGCACAAACGCCCCAATCGTGGAGAAGTCATCCTTGTTCATGGCCTCCAAATCCGCCATGGTTAGCAAGCCATCCCCCAACCTGTACTTTCTCTGCATCATGTCCCCGAACCTCGCCCAACTACCATTGGCGGCATCCACGACCTTGCCCACTTCCTGATGGTGGCTATGAAGGACATATCTCAGAACTCGCTGGAGATTGACCTCGTCCGACAGCCCCACCAGTGCTTGCTCCGTCAGGTCCAGCAAGTCGGACACCCGTTGTTCCTTGAAGTGGAAATTATCAACCTTCGGGACATTGTTCGGCGCTCTCTCGCGCTTATCCAGGGCATCGATGAGGTCGCCGAGCGTTACAAGCTTTCTCCCACCGTCTGCCATCTCCTCAGGCATTTTGATTAACTGCCTTCGGCTTCAATCCCCCTGTTATAAGAAGCGATAGGACGAAAGGTTCCACTCAACAGTCCATTCCTTCACGATCCTATCGGACCGACCACCTAAGCACCCGACGCTCTGGACCTGGCAGACATCTCTCTCTTTACTTCCTACCTCCCTTGGGTTCACCTAAGTAAGACTCATTCTCATCACATAATTCACTCATATACTCACCTCGTTCATGTCATAAGCCAAACCACAAATCAGATCAACATTCACACCCACACAGCCATATAGACTACTATACGATCCATCTCACAGTTCTTCTCTTATTTGCTCACGTGCCTAGTTCTCTCTCATTCTCATACCCGGATGTCGTTCCACCAGAACAACGGTAGGCTTTCGTCATCCCCGGCAACGGCGCCACCTGTCGAGCCCATCGTTCCGGCACCGCACGTGGCGGCGCGGGACCCTCTAGGCCGCGTCACGCAGGAGTTGGACCCACCTCGACACGAACGCACAAATGGAGCTTCCTTCGGCCGCTCCGGCCGACTGTGCCAGCCATACCTCTCGCGAGCCCCTACGACAGGATAGGGCCTACGCGAGACACAACTTACCTCCTCCTTACGGGAGCTGTTACTTCCCTTTGGTGGACGTATCCCCGCCGAGCTACCAGTCCACAGTACGAAAGCTAATCAGTTGCAATCGCAGAGGTGGACCAGCCGAGGGCGTTTCTCGTTCGCTGTAGCATAGGGGGTACGCGCGGTACTACGCCTATCGGACCCTCACGCGAACCGACATCTTGGGGGGCTGAGGTCCCAAGCGCGGCCCGTCGTCGGTCGACTAGGACGCATCCCACACACCACGCGCACACCACTTTACGAACACAAAAATTAAAATACACACACACACACACACATCGAACAACGCGGCAACACTCCTAGTCCCTTCAGTAGCCGTCCCATAACTTTCCGATGCGGAAATCGGATAGGCGTCACGCGCGCGATTTGGTATAAAACCGCGCTGACGCAGGGCTAACCCATATCAGCTCGCAATGCAAACATACGCAAGCAGTCGCAATGATGGCGTATTATGTAGTGCCCATAGTCGTGCGGTCCTTGTTAATCTCCAGGGTCGCATTCGACACTCAAGTGTTGGCTGACACGCGCCTTGAGGGTTCATCTCTCGACGCCGAACAACCGCCATGCGCGGTTGAAAACCACACCCTCTTATGCACCTTGTGCAGAGGGGTTGAGTAGACAGCTTTGAGTTGTGGTGGCGGTCAAACATCAAGGGGTTTGACTTTGACGGCTGCCATGGACTAAAACGTCCAACCATAAAAACCTTAAAAAGCAGACAAATGGGTCGAGGGCCCCTCTTATTCCAGCCAGGGTCGATCTTTTGGGGGTACCCTCTCTCTCCTTGGGTGATGCCCACGGCCTACAATGACCTCAGCGTTTGCGTCTACGTGCGAGCCTCCCGATCTCATAACCTCTAGGAGTTGGGGCGGCGAAGCATCGCACGCAGGATTTTTACATAAGGTTGTGCGACTGCTGGCCAGTCCCATACCGACCAACGATGTCAGTCATACGTGGTAATCGAGGCCCCGGCCTCGCGAACCCCCACAGTAAATACACCGAAGCATACACACATAGGGGAGATAAAGTTATGACGATCACCGCTCACAGGCACTGTGGGACTTCTTACAACCATAAGTACATATATGAGATCGCAGGCAACCCCAAATCTAAATCCGAATCACAAGGTTTACCTGCAATCATATCAAAGAATCGAGCAGCAACTACGCACTACACGGAGTCAACCCCAACCAATCTCCACACTCATACCCCTTCCTTTAGCCATGCAAGCCTCAATCTCCCGCCCATCCAACCATAATTAAATACTCAGTACCTTTAATAAATGACCATTCAATAAAAGTCCAGGTGAAACCCTCAACAAACAATAGAGTCACCAAGGTTAAAGCTTTTTAGGTTGGGTGTGACGAGTGAGTTGGAATTGAGTCGTAGACCGACGAATCGGCAACCGACCTGTTATAAGTGATAACAGAAAAACGACCCTTGTAAGATCAAGCTGAAACTAATCCAAGTCCTGAACCAAATCGATCAAGGTGGCTTGTAAGACTAGACATGTCAATGCCCATGGCTAAGTCTATAAGTTCATGGAGAATAATCTCCATATCACGATCTCACTCAAATCACCCTGATTAACTAAGCCTAAGTCTACCTTTAAGCAGTGCCCAACGCAAAGGCAGACCCTGACATAATCTCCCCTATATAGAGTGGACTGCCAGAATCGTCACCTGTCAAAATATAATCTATTTCCTCTAAACTAGAAAAATTTCGGCAGCGCTTCCTGCAGGAAACGTGTCTTTTCAAGACTTATATCAGCCTGAATACGAAAACAGAAATAGTCTTTGACTTTTCAAAGTTCAATTTTTGTCTGACTCCCTGAATTAGTTAAAATTTGGGCAGCACTCCCTTTAGAAAAAAGGACTTTCCGGATTTTTACTGAGTCATCCATAAACTTTAGACAAGTTGAACTTTGACAAGTCAAAATTTGACTAACTCCTTGGATTTGCAGAAATTTCGGAAGCGCTTCCCGTAGAGAAAGTAGCTTACCAAAATTTATACAAAGCCAAGTATGATAAAAGATCCCCAAAAAATCCGAGAATCGATCTAAATAAAAACTTAGCTCAGAAAATGCAGGAATTGACCTAACTCCTATCGCTCTAGCACGAGGCGAGCCTCTAAAGCAACTACCTGTCAACCTGACACTCAAACCAAGTAGTAGCCTCACTAAGTCTCATGCAGGTCAAACCACAAAGGTAAGTACTCTTGCCACCCTAAGTCAAACTTTGCAAACAATACTTCATAATTTCTCAATGCTTTATCCCCTTATACCCAGCTTACATAGGGCATAAAGTCAAGCCGTCCAATCTTATGGAACCTGCTTGACTCAGCCATTGAGTATACGCGGACAGGTTGCACAACTACTTCTCTTTTTTTTTTAGGGCATATGATTAAGCCGTTCATCTTAGAACAAGGCTCAGCCGCCCTGATCTGTTTAATATCCAAATTATATATCCCTCTCTGAGCTTGGTGTTCAACAACTGGGCATAGGACTGAGCCGTTCATCTTAGAACAAGGCTCGGCCTGCCCAGGGTTACCTTCAATTATATTCTTAGTTATACTCTCTTCATTTCATGATAAGCTATAGTCAGACCGTCCAATCTTATGGAACCCATGCTTGGCTAGCCTGTTCATAAATAGAATAGTATACAATATAGCCAAAATTTTAGCCTTTTGGGTTCCAGCATGTGCGAGGCATTGGGTCAGACCGTCCAATCTTATGGAACATATCTGACCCTCTGCCAGGTTCGTTTCTCTCTCTCTGATCCACTGTGTACGGCATGAGCCCAAGGCCGTCCAATCTTATGGACATGCCCTGCCCTGAGCGATAATTAGTCCCTCAGAACGAAACAGGAAGGGGCTGAGCCGTCCAATCTTATGGACTTGCTCAGACCTCCTTAACCAAAAACCAAGGAAACAGAGCAAAACCCTAACCAAACATGGCAACCAAACCCTCCAATCTTATGGTACAAATTTGGCCCCTGAAAAGTCAACCACAGTCAAACCTCCACAATTCAGAGCAACCAGACCGACCAATCTTATAAACTGGTTTGACTCTCCATGCAACTCAAAAATAAACACAGCGGTCAGGCCGTCCAATCTTATGGAACTGGTCTGACCCCACAGGACCCTGTCAGCCTCAGGCAAAACCACCTTTCACCCACCCTTCCCCCAGATGCACCCCTTTGTGTTCACAATCTGCGTTCAGGCAATCAACAAACTGAAACYGCGATTGCACACACATTCCTTTATTTAGTCTGAGTTGTGTCCTGTCAGTCAATCCAAAGTCAAAGTATGGGGTGCATGCAGCATACTCAGTCAACGAATAGAGAGACGTACARATAGGGGTTATAATTGGGTTTATAAAGGAGACGCAATGGTTACCTCTCAGTTCCCTGCCTCCAGAACTCCTCCTGAGTTCCGACAGAGCTCCCGCAATCGGTGGGGCCAACCTCCCACAAAGGCCCTGGCGCGGATTACGGGTTGCAATCCCGCCTTCCGCCTTCCTCTCAGAACCAACCAGACTAGACTTAGAGGAAGAAGGGCAGAAGTAGAAAGGTTTAGTCTCTCAGATACAAGAGGGGTGCGCTCAGACTCGCAGGAGAGGGCCTTGAAATCTTGACTCGCCTGAGGGCCCCGCAATGGYGGCCAATGTGGCAGCTTGGTCAGACTTCTGAGACCGAATCGTAGAAGTCAAATCTCCGACGACTCCCCAAATCACAGCGCTAACCCCCCTAATCGCCCAGTCTGATCGCCGTGTAGTAAGCCGTG